GTCTTTTGGGGGTGCAGCCTCTCCAGACTGAGGAAAACACTCCAGTCTCCATGGCACTCAAGAGCCACTAGAGGATTCATCAGTGTTTGGCTGATTCAGTGTTTTGGCTGATTTAGTTTAGCCACAAACACTAGTCATCTGCGCCAGATATAAAATCTCCCAGACCGTTTTTATGACAACGATGTAAAATAAAATAAAGTATGCTTTTATTACACCAACATGGTGGGAGTGGTGTAGTAAAAGTGTTCGCCACAAGTACAAATATGATTTCTATTCTGTGAATTGGTCAAAACTATGAGCATAAAGAGGTTTTGGTGCATATGTTTGAGGCTGGGATGTCTGGGAGGCAGCTGTCTTCAAAGGGTGTTCCTGTTTGAGTTTTGCTATTAAAAATATAACAAACAAGCAAACAAAAAAAAACTTCAGCTGAGCTAATTAGAAAGGGTGCACACTTCAATAAATTAGGTTTTTCTGTAAGTTTTTGAGTAAATGTAGCATGGTGCATACCACCACGGATCCCGTCTCATCCACTGTAAGATTAACAATATTCTAGATCAAGCCAAAGTTAAATATAGACATTACTGAATAAGTAGCATCTGCATCACATTTGTGAACCTACAATATGTGATACTTCACTCTAAGGGTTTATACTAAACGTTTTAGCAAGTTTAAATTTCCAAGCCAATCTGAAGTGAAATTACTCTGATTTATCTCTCCTGAACGTAAACTTTGAGGACAGTGATGTCTTGAGGTCTACAAAAAGAAAAAGAGAAAAAATGGAAACAGTCGTTTGACAGAATCAGAACTTTCTTTTTTTTTAGTAGTTTTTTTTTTCTTTTTTTAAGTAGTTTTATTTTAGCTTCAGGAGATGAAACAGTGTTGTGGAAGTTAAATCGTGAAATCACTCAGCAACATTGTCTAAACGGCCACCCGATGTCTTGTACATAATTCTCGATGGAGACCTTCCTAATCTTTTTCCCCTTCCTTTCTTTCTTTCTTTCTTTCTTGACCTGGCTTTACATTTTATCTACACATGAAACAGTAGGCTTGATTTTCTTTACTGTGAGAGGAAAAGAGAGGGTCTCTTACCCAAGTTTGTTTTTCTCCGAAGATCAAAAGTTAGTGGAAGTATTCAGACAGAAAAGGGGAAGAAATTTTTTAACGCATCTTCACTTTGCCCCCCAATCGCATAAAATCATATTTTTTTTTCTTTTGGAAAAGAATATGGGTCTCTTTTTACATCTTCTCCGAGTCGGAATCCCAGCAGGATCCAGACCAGATCCGTTTCACAACCCTTTTTTCCTCCCCTACTCTAAACACTTCGAGCTTTTCTCTTATCAAACCCTCCCATTGGATGAGTGTGAGCTTGCGTCACCTGTCTGTGCGGTCATTGGTTGGAGGTAACGTCAATCTCAGGTGTCCACGTGTGCACTTTCACTCCGCCTGCTCGTGCACGGCTCGGTCCCTCCTCACTCTGGGAAAACCGCTACTTTCCGTCGTGCCAGGGCAGGCCTGGCTGGGCCGGGACAAGACTTCCAGCACGTACACCACAGCTGGAAGACTTCCTCATCCTCTGGCAGGAGGTTTCTTGACCAAGTCTCGTTTTACTCGCTTAATTGTCTCCAACCAGTCCACACAGTTTAAGTTACAATAGAGGAAAAAAGTAGAAAGTCGGGAATGTTCATGAAGGAAACGACTGGCCACGTAGGGGCGTCTCCAAGATTTTTTTTTTCAGTGGGGCGACATAGGGGAGTATAGGATTAGGGCCACTGGAAAAAAAAAGTGGGCACGTCTTTTTTTTTTTCTTTTTCTTTTCCTGAATTCTGAGAAAAAAAGTCAGAATTCTGACTTTTTTCTCAGAATTCTGAGATTAAAGTCAGAATTCTGACTTTAATCTCAGATTTTTTTTTCCAGTGGCCCTAATCCTCTTCCGTGGGAGTACCAGGGGCCTTGAAGGAAAGAAGAGAACTTATTATGCAGAGTTATCAATTATAGTACTGGGCCATAATTATTCATTATAGCACTTTAATGTTGTAGCTGGTGTTAACCATTACATTATATGTAATTAAGGTTAACACATCCAGCTAACCAACAGTTAAGAAAAACTTTCTGTACAAGCACATGGCCTTGCTTTACTATTATTTACCCTCTTCATGCTGGTGGCTGTGAGATTAAAATGATATGATGCATTTATGAAGTGTTGTAGGTGCATAACGTTAGAGGAAATAAACTCATTTTACTAGGTGGTTTCTAGGCAACATCAAGATATAGATATTTGGCATATTAGATAAGAAACGTTGTGCGTCACATTTGGTTGCTCAGTGTGAAGATCAAAATCGTAAACTCAGGTGAATCAAGCAGGCAGCTCAGAAAGGAGCAACACTGACACTTGGGATAACTGGCAGAGGAGAATGAGACACAGGCGAGCATACTTAGAAGGTTACAACAATCAAAGGGTCAGGGAAAGATGGACAGAAAACAACCCTTCAAAGTAAAACAGAAAATAACCAGAGGACAAAAACCTAACTACCTGAACACTTATTTTTACTTGTTTCATTAACCTGGGTAAGGCGGATAGAATAAGGAAACAACAAAAGGGATCAAGAGATAAACAAAGAGATACAGAACAGGTGTTTCACTCCATTGTGTTTTTATTCAAGAGTGCAAAAACAACAACAACAGTGAAATGGAAACAGTGAACACAGCAGCCGGAAGTTGGTGCTGCTGAGGGTCATAAAAAGTTCTTCAGCTTTTTAAGCACAAGGTTGGAAAATGTAATTAAACACATAACCTCCGTGGTGTAAGCATACTGAACCCAACAGCCTTTAACTGTTCTGCAGAGTGCAAAGGTTTTGTGTCTTTGTGCATAAATCTAATGGTAGTTATGAGCATTTGCTGGTTAAATGAACTGCTATAGCAGCATTTTAAAATTGCATTCTAATTTTCATTAACTACAGAGCTATCCTTTATATAACTGCATATTTACATGGGTAAATATATACATAGGCCAGCTCTTTTTAGTTGGACTTTGTGTACATACTGTAAACTTCTCACATGGAAGTGCAAAACACACGGCACAAGAGAGATGTTTGAAAACGATCGAATAGAAGTCACACGCAAAAACCTTTACATGCAAAACAAAAGCTAATTGGGTAAGGCAGGAAGACGGTGCAGATGTACGATAAGATATGACACTGATGCAGGGGAGGAGTTTTGTTACTTAAGAGAAAGCATTGTGAATGCAGGCAATAAATAAATGTGCATGCTCAATCCTTCAAAATAGCAGAGCAGAGCTATTGCTAGTGCAGCTGTTGAAATTTCTCTACTGGGTAATCAGCATTGACTGAAATACACCAACCACCTTCTGCAGAATATGCAAAAAACCCATACTGACAGGTGACAAAGAAGGAAAATCAACTTCATGCTTCTCAATAAGGTATTGAGCTGCCATGTGCTGACAGAGCAATTCTAATGCACCTTAGCACCGACTGAAGCCTCTGAAACACACACTTCAATAAAGTAGGTTTTTCTGTAAGTTTTTGAGTAAATGTAGCATGGTGCATACCACCACTGAGTAATAAAAGCATTCAGTAACCCCTTGTGTCGAGTAGAAGGTGGCATATTTCATTGTAGCATAAAAGTAACCAGTCAGACTAAGTTTGTATCGCTATACAGTGACGCTGTCTGGACTCAAATCAGTGCACCAAAACATAGCCACTGGACCCCTTCAGTGTGTGGGTCACTGGTTTTGATGGTTTTCCTTTAATTTGTCACCTGTCTTAGAGCTGATTCTCTGTAGTTTTCAGCTTTTTTTAAAGACTGTTTTCAAGATTTTTAATTAAAACTATATCAGGAACTTGTGGTTATTATAAGATGTCAGTCAAATGTTGTCAAAAAATATATAGAATATTTGTGTGTATGAATGGTTTTGGGAAAATATTTACGTTCCCCATATTTCTGTGCTAAATATAAAACCAAAGTCAGAAACTAGTCAGCTTAGCATTAAACTTTTAACATTTAAAAGCTTTAAACTGAGGGGAAACAGCCTGCCAAAGATGTGCTCAGTGGAACTCAGATGGGAGGTCTTATGAGCCCTGAAATTCGACTGCTACTGATGCACACATTCATATGCTACCTGCTGTAAGAAGACTAATTTATGGGTTGTTTGTTTATATTTCATGATGTGATTTCATATCTAAGTTCAACTTCAGAACTTGGAAATATTCAACCTCAACCACAAACTCAGCAGAATTCAGGCAGATTATTTTGTTCATTACCAAAAAATATTGTCAGTTTTGAGGATATTTGCTCCACCTAACTGCATGTCATTAGAAATTGTTTAGAATCATTTTTGGACAAAAACAAAATAAGAACAAGAAAGACTAATCCTCCCCTGATAGTGCATTAATTTACAAGAGCTCTTATATAAATAATCACCGTCCAATGACAGCTCGTGTCTCTCACATGAGATATCCTCACTCTCATTTCCTGCTTCCTTCAGGGACAGAAGACAGTTTTGCAGAGGGTGTTCATGCAGAAAGAACGAGGCGTGGAGATGGAGAGGAGGAGGTCTTGGGGTCACATATACATGCAGGCATTTCAAGTGTAGGTGCAGGACCATTATGGGACGGTGGTGCGACAAGAAGGCCAATAGAGGGGCTTTAGCATGGATACGTAGACACGGCATGTGGGACAGTTCCTTTTCCTCCATAGCCACTGCTCCATGCACTGAAACACATTTTAAAACACACCATTGCATCATTGTTGCTATGATCTGTATCATGTATCATTTATGCAGTCATTGATATTTTCAACTGATGCCAGGAGGACATTTCCAACATGTTGATGCATGAGCAACAGGATCTACGTTCACAGACCCTAACCCTTAGCTGGAAGGGACAGTGTTGCTGCCTATTTGAGCAGCTTTCTCTGTTTCAAAGGATACGAGTCAAAGAAGGTTTTAAATAAATTTCTTTACAGTTATTAATGTGGTGCCTTGCTTTTTTTTTTTATTTTTTACTTTTATTATATTCACTTTGACAAAATGTTAACATGTTTACAAGTTCTGATTGTCAACAGATTCAACAGTATGTAAAGTGACTCACTGTAGTTCTGATGAAATGCTTTGATAAACTGTAAATATTCTCTATTGATTATAAAGTATATTTATTCTAAAGTGATATTTAAAACCATTTAATTAGTATAACCATAGAGGTATCTTCTCATCCAATAACGTGCTGTGAGTCTAATAACTGAATACAATGACCGTTACATACAGAGGCGTTTCCAGGAAATTTTATATGGTTTTGGCACAGAGGGACCCAAGAACCAGTAAGGGTGGTGTAGAGCACAGAAAAGCAGAAAACACCAAATGAAATCAGAAAAAAATCCACTGAGTTATGGTGATTTTAACTTTGACCAGACTTGTATCCATGGATACCAATGCTGGTACTAGTGTTGAATCGATACTAGAGCAATAGGATTGATACTTTGTTTCTAACCAATAGTGAAATGTGTGAAAAACAATAGTGAAAAATCCCTGAAACTTTTTGTGCTGGCCGTCATGCCTACTTTATTTATTTGAACAACATAAACTGATCCAACATAAACCGATCCAAAGTGCTTTAGAAACAGGCACACAGCTGAATTGTTTTGGTGAAAGGAAAAATCACAGTGATTTCATTAAAGTGTGTTCAGACTTTGCATATTGATGATACTTCATCTCATCTTCAATACATAAGCTGCTTTCATTGGTTAAATGGTATCGGTAATACTGGCCCTGTATTTAGTTAGTATTGAATCAATGCCAAAATTTGCAGAATGCAGCACTAGAGTCAGGAAACAACAAGCAGTGGATCAAACCACTGTGAGGCATGTCATGGGGGAGTCATACATCCATAACTGAGCAGAAGAGCTTTTAGTGTGTATTATCATATTATATAACATTATATAGTTATATTTACAATAATGTATTGAGGAGTAGCACAGTGTTTTTACAGCAAAAATGTAACTGGACACCTTACATCCCCCTGTTATTTTCACTCATGTTTGCATTTATATAATAAAGATTAAGCTGGGGCACCAGGTGGACCTAATAAATTTCAGGCCCCAAGCCAACACTTTAGCAACTCCCCTGTTTACATAGTCATGGTGCAGTACAGTTTGTCATGCTGAGGTTTTAAAGCAGAAAACTGCTTTTTTTTCCAATTTTTTTTTCTAACTCTAACCCTTTTCAAACATTTTTAACTCTGTGTTTGCACACTGAAGAGAAGAAGTTGCAATTATTCCAAAAGTGACCTAAAACTCTGGCCCAGAGGGGATTTGAGGCCCTGATTTTTCAGTGTCACATCATAGTAAAAGTTCAGGAGAAATCCTGATGTTTTCGCTGCAAATCATGCATTTTCCCCTTCTTGAAAACAATATCAGCGATGTCTCCTCAGGGAATGTTGACGATGGAGTGTGTGCTGCTCCTTCTCCGTGGAAATCTGTCCATCTGCAGACCTCCTCCTCTCCTCATAGAGCTTCCTCCCCTGTAAAACAGCTGCTTCACTGCTGCTTCGGGGCCGACACTGCTCTAACCTCCGAGCTGCCTTCAGCACCCACCAGATGGAAACATCATAATGAGTAAGTATCCAGTTCCTGGGACCTCAGGCTGTTCAGTGTACTCCATGCATCTACAGGGATAAGTTTCTGCTGCAGGCATTGTGTTTTCATTCCAGTTCACATCATGCATGTCAGGGAACAGGCTGATATCATGCATCAGAGATCTGGTGTCTGACTTGCAGGGATTTTAGGGAACACAGTGTAGACAGAGGTCATGCAGTAGATCTGACGTGTGCAGGTTCTCTTACCTCTTTATGAAAGCGGTGTGTACAATGTGGCACTCCCCTCCCATTCTTACGCATGTCCTCATGACAGATCAGGCACAACGTATCGTCCTTCTTCTGTGAGAAAAAGAAACAACATCTGACCAAGATTTCAATAACTTATGTATTTATAAAAATAATAAACCTGTATTATTGCATCAGTGGGAGATTAAGTGACAGGAACTTCATATATGTAACTTATATACCAAAGTGAAGGAGCTCCATTTAATTTCAGTAAACTAATAAATAATGATATAATTTTTCACAAAGTTATGATAAGCTGTAAATGTTATTTGCACTGTGTATGTTATGTATCACGTTTTTTTTATTGATTTCCTGTGACACCACAAAGATACAGAAACACCGTTTCATTAACATTAAACCCCTGACAATGAGTTTTAACAGGGCTTGACAAAAAATTTTGTTCCAAGAAAAATCAGGTATAAAAATGAAAAAGGATTAAACATGCATTCACAACTATATTCTTTAGTATGCCGACAAAAAGCATGGACAATAGAAGAAAAAGAAAACTTCAAGGTCCTTGTGTGCATTCAAGACCAGTTAATTATGTGGGTATTTGTAGGTTATGTAATTCACAGCTTTGTCTTTGGCAGCACATAAAAGTAATGCGGCTTTTCAGGCTCCTTAATTTTTACGGGCTTCGTAATTTTATATGAGGAGGAGAAAGACCATCAAGTCTGATCGTCCTTCGGTCATCTATAACACTATGAGAAGGTAAAAATCTGTAAGGACCATTTATCGTTCGTTTAGTTAATGTTATAAATCCTCCTGCTCACCAGAGACGTGGTCTTCTTATCATTTAGACAGAGCCTCTTCTCAAGTGTCTCTGTGAGCTCTGGGATGGTGGTGATGCGATTCTCTGCGATCGCAGTCTTAGCGCGGATGTTGTCATCTGCAGAGGCACGGCGAGGCTTCTGGTGGACCCTGGTTTCCCCCTTATCCTCTCTTGATTTGACGTGGCTGGGAGTGGGCGCCATTGTAGCCGCATGAAACCTGTTTAACTTCATGACATCTAACTGTGACTGAGGATTAAGAACACAACGATAAGTGTTATTACACCACGTAACAACACTTGAGAGTAAAATTATTGTGTCACATTCCCTCTAATAGTGAGGCGGAGTTGTAAGAAGATTAAACTAGAGAGACAACCATGTCTGCCTTATGTCTGTCAATGGGGTTAAACACTCACTCGCTAATATCCTTAAGTAACATGTTGGCAAAGCAGCTACCTATATATAGTTTGACTCTAGACTCAGGACAGAACGTAAATATATATTTACACAACAGCAATAATCTGATAATGCAACTCCAGTAAAACATCAAAGGTGAAGGTACAGATGAATTTCAGTGTTTGGCTAGACTTGTAAATCTGTAACTACTGAACTGTTCTCTTCAAATGATGTATTTCTGGAGCACTCATTACTAAACTAAGGTTTAACTCTTAATGGGAGCTTTAAATAGCGATGCACTAGACACAGGCTGACATTGTACAACCCCAGAAGTTATTTCTGGTTCTACTTAACTTTATTACTGCTGCTGAGGAAAAAAATACGGTGTCTAGATGTAATTTTGACTTTAAATTTGAGGAAAAAAAATAACATGAGAGATCTGTGACAATGTGATTTTTTCTGTTTAAAGAAACTAAACAATGTGATAAATGTTACTTTAAATAGGTCAAAATATGTGTAAAGGTGTGAAAAGTGCAGTCAACGCTGATGCACCTTAATATGTCAGATTTTCTGTTGATCTACTATCTCAGTTAGTACTGTCAAGACTTCTTTAACTGAGCAGGTTCTTCAATTTTGAATTAATTGCCTACCACCGCTTTAGGGTGTAGCTACTTTAGGAGTCAAACGTTTTTATATGTGCAGTGTATTTTTTCTTTGGATCAACCCCTCACTTCGATTTCATAAACCTCGATCTCACCAGCCAAAATTTCAAACTTTAAGCTTCAAACAGGACTTCAAAAAAAGAAGGGTCATAGGGGTTAATTACATCTTTTATATATATATATATATTATATATATATATACTATGTTTTTATGGTATTTGCAAGAAGCTTTTTTTGTTTTGCGGTGCAAGGAAGTGGCTTGTTATGTTGATGTTGCTAGTTTTAGCTGTTATAGGACAAACATTGCTATTTGTAGCTGCCCGCCTTGTTGACTGATAAACGTCCTGGAACATTTAGTAACGTCATGGGCTCATCTGTGACACCATTTTTGCATTTGCTGCATTTTAAAAGATAAATGTAGTATGAAGAAAGGCTAAAAATATTCAGAATAGTTGTTATTTGAATGAGAATTTCTTTATTTCCCAGAATAAACTTATATAGCATAGGCTTTCAGCAAAATTTTTATTTTAAATATACTGACCAATAGTTCCACTATCAGACCAAGAATCTGTGCATTACTTCTCTATTTGCTTGCTTAAAAACAGAGCATACAGGGAACTGCAGGCTTCAGTTTAAACAGCACTTCTTCTGATTATTAGTGAAAGGTTACACTATGCTACTACATTTGTTTTTTGCATTTGTCAGTGCTTCCTTCATGATGAGAACTGATTGTGCTCACCCAGTGTTGTCTGCAAACTACTTGCTTGTAAGTTTCTTTTCTTCCACAGAGAGACCACTTTATATGTGTGCACTTACACTGTTGTGACTCTTATCACCTGCTTTAGATTAGAAAGAGTTTCTTTGGCTCCTTCCTTCCTTTAGTTTTCGCTTAACTTGTCATACACACTAATGAAAATATACCCGAAAACTATAAAGTAAGCACCACTATTCACCACACAGGCCATGACACTTGACTATGCTGATAGATAAGTTACCCTGTTCTGTGTTATTAATAAAAAATACAAATCACTAAATTGTGCGCCATTCATGTTGGTTGCTCTTCTGCTCGTTTGCTGCTTTAAGTTGTACCTCTATGTTTTGCTAAACATCCACATAGCCAGAGGTTATGGAAGAGTTGGAACGCTATTGAATGAAGAATATGTGTAAGAGCTTTGGCATGCAGCAGCCCATGACTTAAAAACATTGTTTATATAAGAAAATGATATCAGATGTGAAGGCATTTTTAGTTGGAAAAAATAATTTTCCTACAGACCTACACAGACACAGCTACAACACAAACATCAGACTGGTCTGTATTCATTATAGAACTATTCTGTTTTTCCTAATGAGACTGTGAACAGCTCAGCACGTGGCACGGCATTTGCAGTGTTTGATCGCTCTGATGTAAAGTAATAGAAAACAACTCACTTAGAGCATCAATAATTTAGTACTTTGCAGGCTTTCATGGGGGAAATTTACCAAAACAACAGTTTGCACACTACTAGAGGCTTTTTGTTCGGAAGCTTTAATATTTAATTAGTTCTCATACCAGCTTGTAAAACATACATGTGCATTATTCTGCTGTCATAGTCCATATTTTGTCTTTTTCAGAGAAAATAAAACTCTGTGTTTTATAAATATTCCATGCAGTGATATTTGCAGTCAGTGAAGGTATGGGATCTTTCTAACACCCTGAGCTGCTTTTAAAGAAATACATAGAAAGTATACTGTCTGATAAATGTACTTTATTATATTTATTAAACTGGCCTTTAATTAGTATAGTGAAATACATTCATCAGAGAGTGCATATATTTTATTTTCCCTCCAATTATCAATGAAGGGCTATACAGAATAAAATTTAAGATGTTTATAGTGTCAAGTGTACAAGCACGCTGTCCATATGTGGTGTAAAACTGGACAAGAGAAACTGCAAAAAATGTTTGTTAAAAGTGTTTTGCTGCTGTTTAAATGTCAGTGCATGCATCAAGTCGAATGCTGCAGAGCTGAACACATACGTCAATCCATGAAGTGCAGCCGGTCCTTACCGCAGTCGGGAGTGATGCTCGTCTATCAACTTGTGTTTTTGAAGGCCTTCTGAAACTGTGTTTTCTTTCTCTGGAATGTACAGCGTCTGGTCCGTGACCCCAGTAACTGCTCATCCATTTTGTGAAGTTACTATCATCGTCCTCGTCATTGTCCATAGTGATAGCAGGCAGAAGCCGTAGAGACATGATGGAGCTGTGCAGGGAGCTTCTTGGTGCAGCAGGTCTTGGTACAACAGATGAAAGTGAATGGGGTGAGTACTGACAACACTCAGCTGACCTATTGAGTGTCTAACAGACCAGCTGCTCTGCTACACTGCACTGTCCCACATGGCAAAAGTGACTTACTTCAATTAGATGCCTCTAGTGAATCAAGCTGTCGCTTTTGTTGTTATCCTTGGACAATCTAAAAATAACCTGCAGAGATTTAGCTCCAGTCTTTAAATAAGTGAATCCTCTATAATCTATTTAACGTCACTGGTAGAACATAAACTGGAGGTGATTGGAATAAACAGCGAGGTGGTAGCTGTGACGGAACAGCTAGTATTTTGGCACAGGGTGGGTGATGTGACCACTCCTTTTAATCTTTCCATTACAGTCATCAGCCTCGGGGTAGACAACTGAAACTCCAATTTCCCCATACTTTCCACTCGCTGAGTACATCAAACCTGTCAATAATTATGGAGCGCAGGCAACTGGGTGGTGAGAGCCCAAGGCTTGTGCAATACAGGGCAAAGAGCTTTAATATTACACTGTATACAAGTTTATTTGTTTTGCTCTTTTAAGTCAAGTATGTTAAATCCAGATTTTATACATGAACAATGAAAACATGTAATACAAGGCCATCAGCTAGAAAAGCAACATCTCTGGCACCATTATTCAGTATATATCGTGTCAGTTCAGTCTGAAAAATTATTAGTAGTAGTATTAAATACTATTGATATTACTGCAAAAAGGGGATTGTGTATTATTGGAAATATTCATATTAGATACACCATGTTTTCATTAGTTTTTTGTGTTTTTTAACAAAAAAGCAGAAGAAATTATATAAAAGTCTTTATCTGCTCTTTTACAAACTCAAAGTTTCCCTGTGCTAATAATGTTGTAAAGATCTCAAAGAGAAGGGCAGGGCAGGCACTGTTATGAGACATTCATGCTGCTTTATCATGTAACCTCAGATCCCCACTGAGAAAGAGATTACGGTAATCTGTGTTCTTTCCAAAAATGAGGATGAAACAAGGTCACACCTGAAGACAAATGACCACATTTTATTAAATAAATGAAGAGTACTATCCGTGTGCGCCGTTGAGATGTTATAACATCAACGAGCCTCCATCCGGTATTATTATGGGGTCTTTATCTTACAATATAAAACACTTTGAGGCGACTGCTGTTGTGATTTGGTGCTATAAATAAAATTGAATTGAATTAAAAGTATTGAAAACAATCTCGTATTCATACATTACAAATCTGCACAGGTTTTTTTTTTTTAAATATAAAATTAAAATTGTGTTTCAGATTTAGGATAAACCCTCTGTATCAAACAACTAAAACAGGAGAGAATAGCTATACAATACAACACCACACCATATAATACATAATAAAAATACAATGACTTATTGATAATTTGTCATTACTGATAAGTGACTGTGTACAGCAGCTTGTTGCATACCATACAAGCATGCATTCATGCAGACACATAATCGTACTCTTAATCGATTAATTACATAATCATCATGCTTTTTTTAAAGGCCGAACGACCACGATAATCAGTATAAAATGTTTCAGAAAATGCTATCGTATTAAAGCTAGTTTAAATCAAAGCAGAGGTATAACCTACTTGATAAGTTGAAGAAGGCTGTTCCAAAATTTAGTTTTGGTCACCTCTACATTTAAAATCAGAATGCACAACACTTAAAATACCCTGAGTGGAATTGGGTTTTAACAGTTTTAACAGTTCTTATGAAAGCAGTCAGTCTTTTGTATGATAGTAAAATTAAAAAATGAATTTCAGATTTCACTGGAGGCCAATGAAGGGAGGCAAGGAATGCACAAACACAATATTTTATAAATTTGTTTTATTGAGACCTTATTATACATTTACATACAAAACATACAGTCTACATATAGTTAAACCTTAGTGTCACAACAAGTGTTTGCTAAAAGAAAAAAAAGCAACAAAGAAAAAGTTTTTTTTTTTGTTTTTTTTTTAAGGGAAAAGGAATTTGGGTTCCTTAGAAGGAAGGAGATATGAAAGGAAAGGCTTACGTGAGGTATAACATTTCTTATTGGCCCCTCTAAGAGAAACTATAAACTTTTCCAATTTAAGGAATGACATTAGATCTGTCGGTCAAGACTTTTCTGTTGGTGGCTTGGGTGACTTCCAGTGTGGGAGAATACATCTTTGGGCAATTAAAGAGACAAATGAGGCAATACTTTCTGTTTAGTTGACTCAGATAGATCACCCATCTACTCATAGCTATTAGCTGTAAGTATGTTGGGATACGATATCAGTCTCTAGGACTTGATTTTGAAAACATTTTTCTAAAATCCTGTTTAAACATGACATGAGACGGGCCTCACAAGTTTATTATTATTAGAGCAAGTTTATTATTCAAATATGATCTGAATATTTGAGATTTGTAAAAAAAAAAAAAGAAGTGGATTTTATAAATACTATAAATGAAGAACAATGTTTGCAAAATGATCCCTGGAAGCAGGAGTTACCCTGGACTCACTCACTTAATCAACAGACTGCACTGCAGAAAGAGCAGCAACAACAACCTGCATGAATAAAATATACCAGCATGAATTTATGTTAATCAGATTTAAAAATCTAAATGGAATAATCTGCTGTGTTCACATAGCTGATCTGTAAAGATTTACATTTCCAAACAACATGCCACGTGCATCAGGAGAGCACAGACACGTCTCAGTAATCACAGGTTACCAAGTACCTGCTGGCAGCAGCTACAACTGAGCCCCGCAGTGCTAACAATAGCAGGCACAGTTTATAGGAATAACAGGTGGAGTCAACAGAAGATCAGACATTCTTAGTAGCCCCCATCCATCCATCCATCCATCCATCCATCCATCCATCCATCATCCATCCATCCATCTTCCCACAGCTACACACACACCACACATGTAACACACAAGGTTATTGTCTCACATCACATGTGGTGCCAGGCAAAATTGATTTTATGGCCTTCATTGCAAGAATCGATTATGTTCAGGGCGGGCACACGTTTTGTGCTATGCTCAACTTTAACAGATTGATCGATTTTTACATATCTTGCTCTTAATTCAATGAAACTGAAAAACAGAAATATTTGTATTTGAAAAACAAAAAGGATTAAATTCACTACAGAAAGAACCGGAGACAAGTGACAAATTAAAGGAAAAAGTTGAACTCTGGCTCTCCACAGTGAGGGGATTTGGGGCTTTGCTCTGATGACAGGGGGGATTTTGCTGGTATGGTTTGGAAATCAATGTAAAGTTGTTTTGATTGATCACTTTTATCCTGTGATAAAATATGCAATGGGAGTGGTCTCTCCCAGGTCTCTCCTATTCACACTGCATGGTTCAATGAGCACTCTCAGGTTAATAAAGGTGGTCTGGTTCTTCAAAGAATCTCACCAATAGAAGAAACTCTTTATTTTAATGATGGGTTGTTTTTTTTTATATACTTGGTTCTATTATGGTTCTAGATTGTAGTGTTGTTGTTTTTAAAGTTTGTTAAAATTTGAATTTAGGTTGAAGAGTGCGTCATGTGTTGAGTTTGTCTTCCCTCAAAAACATACTGTTTACATAAGAATACTTACATTTAATATAACAATAAAACAATAGAATATAAACTAGTCAAACATGAAGCATGAAGTCATGACACCACATGAATCATTTTAATTTTATATATGAAACTGACCAAATTTCAACCACCTTGATCATCTATTGTAGATGTTCTAAGATGCTTAACTGTGTTTTGTTTTCTTTTAATTCATCATCTGTGTGTAAGTCAGTTATGATATAATTTAAAGCCAGTCCTTGCATTGTCCAACTAATCAGGGAACAGTTTTTCTATGAATAGATGTTACAGTCAGACTCTTCTGACAGCTAGTAGAGTTGACTTTGAAAAATTGCCCACTGCTGGTGACTGTTTGAGGACGGATGGCCCTAGGCACAAATTGAGTAGCCAGGCAGCAGCACGTTCCAGACAGACCAGCACTCCAGCAGATGACGGCTTCTCTCTGTCTCGATCTCCCCTCTCACAGTCTGTTTTGAGCAGAGGCTTGGAAACACACACACACACACACACAGAGGTGCCTTGTTTCTCTCACGATCTCTCAGGTAGGTACAGGTCACGAAGGAGAAAGCAACTGAAAAAATTCCCCACTAGTATTTAAAATCAATTTTTATTTTTTTTAAAATTGCAATCTGCAAACAGAATTGGGCAGAATGTGACTAATATTTTGGCCATTACTGAGCTTTCACTTGTTAAGAGAGAATACCTTTTGACCTTTGAGACTTTGTAGTCATGTTCTCAGCCTTCACAGATGACGATTAGCAGTTGGTTCATTAGTTTATAAACTATTTTCAGTTACAGTGAAATCAAATAAAAAGAAAAAGGGGGGATCACTGCTGGAGGTTTTATCCCAGGAATGGTGCCTGTCTCGTGGGGAGGGCTGCTCTGTGAGGACGGGGGTGGCGCGCACACCAATTTGACTCAACTCTACTTTCCAATTAATATTCACAGGTTTCATTTACAAACAATCATTTAGCATGCAATCCCAGTGAGGGGACACCTGTATGACCTGTATTTAATACGCGTAAGACATCGGTCTACATACTCACTTTAAATATATTGTCACGGCAAAACTGTCACAACACAGAATGGACCAAAAACACAGACCCAAGACAGCGGCACAGGTTAGTGTAACATGAGATTTATTTACAGTGATTGTGATATGGTGTAAACAGTCATATGTACAGGACGTGACACAATATGAGCTGAGAGCAGGTGAACTATAACAATGGCTGTGGGATAAACTCTGCCAGTGACTATATACAGGTGCAAGGGCAAAGCTAAGGTAAATCCTAATAACATGAACTGTGAGGCATTATAAAACTACAAAGCTATATACAAGGTCATACACACATAGTCATAGAAACACTAACTGTGAGAGGCATACGCTGATTAAAGCTATGAAAGTTACGTGAACAGGAGTGAAAGCTTGATACGGGAGACCCAGGGATGATAGTGGCACGTTAGTGAACTGTAGATTGGAGGCGCTGCAACACAGGGAGAGGTGAGTCACAGTGGACCCAGCGGAACGGAAAGAAACTGATTCAGTGTGGATATTGTGTGGGGGGCATTTTGACTCTCCCCTCCAATTATGCTCTCACCAGAAGATCTCCAAGGCTGGGATTTTTTCTGAGAGCCCTAATAACTCTCTCCTGGTGAGGCACGCTCCAGTTAGTTTGCCACAAACTGTTTCACCACTAGATGGAAGCATTGTCAAAGCACTGTCAAATTTGAATTGGAGCATCACTGGGCTGCAATTCATATTGTAGAGGGATACAAAAACAAACAAACACAGACACACACAGACACAGAAACAGACAATTAATAAAAAATTATATATAAAAAATGCAAAAAGTGAAAAAAAAATTGATTATGTCCTTCTTCCAATGCATTATGGGTCCTCAAAATGGAACCCTTTTTTTTCACTCCCAACTCAGCTTCTGTACCTCCTGCTTATGCTTCTCCAGTTATTGATGATCGTCACATGACGATTGTGGTTATCGCCAACCCCTTGGTATTTGGACACATGGCTTAGAAGCTTTCAAAATCTTTTTTGATAAATTGAACAATCACCACCCCTTTAATGAAGTTACAGTTTCAACTAAATAAATTCCAAGTTAACTTTTTAGACACAATAGTTTTCTTTAGAAACAATAATAATCAAAGCAAACAACTATTTGTTGTTTTAAGGATACAGATAGACACATACTGTTATATAAAAAAGTTTTCATCCTAGACATGTTTTCAGGAGTATTATTAAATCTCAATTGATTAGATTCCATCGTATCTGTACCTTTAAGATGCATGTGGAAGAAGCTACTTCAGCGTTGTTTAAGGCTTTAAGACCAAGAGGTTACCGGTACTCAGTCCGCTTTTAAGGGCAGATTTAAAGTGAAGTGAAAGCACTCTTTGATAGGATCAGCCAACAATTAGGAGGAATAATCAGAGTGAATTGATTCAGTTTGTAATCACCTTTTCAAGATACATCGGAGTCTTGAATCAATCTCTTAATACCTCTTTTTTGATGGCCCAACAAGCCCTTCCTTCTTTACAGCAATTTAAAAGTTACAGCTTATAGAAGAAATAAAAATCTAAAGGATATTTTGGTGCACAACAAATTGAATCCTATAAAGAATTTAGATGACAGATTTAAACAAGTACGATATATGGAAAATATTAGTAAGAGAGGGCTTTCTATTCAAAAATGGTTTTCAAAAATCTGTTTCTATTGAGTGTAATTTTTTTATGAAATCAATTTCTCATTTATTAATGGATTAATAATTCTCTTTGAAAAATTGATTTAAATGTTTTTATTTTTAAACTATTAAACCAATTACTTTAGTTTTGTTTGAATAAATAAAATCATTTTGAAAAATGAATTCACAAATGGATGATTTATTATACAATTCATAATTTAAGCACAGAATTCTTTGTTTCAATGCATGTGGCCTTGTGGTCCTCTATAACTGGCTCCCAGTAAAACTTTTAAAACTTTCACACAGGATGCGTAAATTCCCACATTAAAATTATTTTCGGACTTAACTATTCTTACACAGTGGATGCGTAATTCCACAGGACAAATTTGTGGCATTTATTCTTTCAAACCGAGCTAGATTTTTCTGATGTTTTGGATCCAAATAAACAGATTTGTCCAACCAGACCACTGCATTTGTCATCGTTCAGTCACGCCATTGTACTGAATATGCAACGACACAGAAATAGTAAAATAAACTCCACACTTTGTGTCCATCGATAAAGAAAAAGTTTGACAGTTTAAAGAAATTCAGACAAAGGGGAGACAAACATTCAGACACAGGTTAAGTTTTCACAATAACAGATTTATTGCTGAATAAATGTCACAATGAAGCTGCAATACAAAAATAAAACAAATGAAAATCGACTTCACATCAGTTACCTGTTCATCAGGTGCATTCCTCTACCTCACCTGTACAACATGAAACTAATCGTCTAACACTGACCTGATCACCTGACATGATAACGTCAGGTTACCTGTCCAAACTTTTAATCCTTTAATCAGTTGTCAGTGGTTACCATGACATCATTTACATAAACTGTACATAAAACCAATTGAACGTTTTACTCAAATCAGAAAAGAGCAGATTTAGTTTCCGTAACCTTTGACCCCAAATGTTTTAAAGTAAACCTGCAGAAATTGATACAACTCCAGTTATGTTCATAACAATGCTGACAGTCAGCTGTCAGTCATACTGCAAATTTCAGTCCTTTATTGTGGATGAATGCCCACACAGCCAGAAAAATTACTTACTGACATAAAGAAAGAGGGCATGCTGGGAAAAACTGAGAAAACAGACAAAAAACAAAAACAAAAACACCTGTTATTAGTTTTAGCCTTGCCCCCTCCTCTATTTGTGCCCCTTGCTGGTCTTGAAGGAGACCTGCAGGACTTTGTCCCCCAGGCGGTACCCGTTCAGGCTGTGGATCGCCATGGCAGCTTCCTCGTAGTTTGCCATTGTAACAAAGCCAAAGCCTTTGCACTTATTGGTGTTAAAATCTCGGATCACTTTCACATTCAAGACTGCACCGAACGGGCCAAACATCTGCCACAGCATGGCCTCGTCAGCTTCCTGGCCCAGGTTGTAGATGAAGATGCACCAACCAGAGGATGAGCTCCCCGAGGCCCCACCCCCTCCGCTCATGTGGTCGGTGCTCATTGGAGAAAACCTGGACACACGAAGTATTAGACAGCTGCAGATTAACTGATTCTCATCGAACAGTAACAATCATATAAGTCAATTAGCTGCTGGATCTCGGGACAAGGTAGGTTAGAGTACTCAGACTACAGTAATCAGGTTATTCTGAGCAGGTCAGCATACCGGAACCTTTGTGCCTGGTGATGGACAGGCCCCCCAAAGCGTCGTGATTGGCCGTGGTACATCTGTGACATCATCTGGGAGTTCCTGGCCTGGTTGGGATTGGCAGCAAACTTGACCGTGATTGGCTCAGCGCTGCCGGGAGGCGTGTGTCCGTTCAGGTGTTTGACAGCGTCATCGGCCTCGGCCCTCTTATCAAAGCGGATGAAGGCCACGCCACGTGACAGACCTAAACAGCCAACCAGAACAGAATTTTTTCAGTTCCAAACATCACAAGCCATCACATGACCCTGAGCTTACTGAGCGCGTGCGGTACCTGAAGCCTGGTCCACTAACACTCTAGAATTGATGATGCGACCGTAGTGCGAGAACATGTCCTCCACGTCCTGCTGACTGAGAGTCCGTGGCAAACCACTGATATACAGGTTCGCATCTTTGATGGCGTCCGAACTCGGCCGTGCAAATGAAACCTGCGGGGAAGTGACAGGAAGTAAGTCAGCTGATCATCTTTACAATATAATTGTCACAGAAAACAAACGGTGATGAAAATAAAAAATACAGTTACATTGAGTTCAAATAAAATCCAGATTTAAATTTTTAAATATTCAATAAAAATAAATAAAAATCCACAATTTTTCCAAACAACAAAACAAAACACAAAATAAAAGCATCCAAACAGGCTCTGATCACCAAAATAAAAGCATTAATATCATTAATGTCTGAAAGTAAAAGGTGCAGTACGTTGTCTCACTGAATTGAAGAAATTCACAGATTCAGTGTTGACACGTGTCGGTGCGAAAACAATAAAAACAAAACAGCAGAGTTTGAAAATACCTTCATCCATCAGACAGGTGAGAGTGCCCTCTACTGTCCGGGGAACATAACACATCAGTTGAGACAGGAAAAACAAAGAGCACCTGTGGCACGTTACCTTGATAGTTTTAGACTGTAGCCTCAGGCCATTGAGGGTACTGATAGCCCTCTCTGCATCACTAGGGTTAACAAAGTTAACAAAGCCGTAACCTAAACTGTGGCCTAGAGAAACACAAAGGAAAACAACAAAATAAAAAACAAAAGCGTCTGTTACAGCTGCTACACAGTCCGAGAGAAACAAACACAGAGTTCAAACTAAGTACAGAGATCCATACAGTCAATTGGAAAACATCAGTTTTCTGAACAAACCGGGAAAACCTGCCGCCACCCACCACGCTGCCTGTCCGCCGCGCACCTACCACGTTTTAGCTCTCAAAACAGTTAGGTGACACTGCAAGGTACATTGGCTATTTAAAATAAATAAATAAATAAATAAAAATAAAAAAAATCAACTTCGGAAAAAAACTCACTACAAACAAAGAGGTTAAAGGTCATCTCTCCTGTTACACTTCAACACAAATTAGTTCTCACAGAAAATAAAGTGATGAAAATAAAAACTGCACTTACATCGAGTTGAAATAAAATCCAGATTAAATGTTTAAATATTCAATATAAATATTAATTTATTTTTTTATCTGAAAAGGTAAGATCTCACCTGATTTGACCAGTTCAGGTAAGATCTGTCCATGGAAGTAAATAATTTATCGTCGTCAGTGAATGAGGTTAAAGATGACTCACTGGTGATATATTACTTTGGCATGACGGTGGTTAGCCACATGATGATGATCAAACCGTCGGCACAAATCATCTGCACATGGTTGTATTGAACGCACGACGACCTGACGATTACACGCTGGCAGGATGCAATCCTGCATCACCCCACACGACTGTTGAAAACGACTGTTTTCTCGACTTGTTCAGAACAAAAAAAATCTTCAAATATTTTTAAAGTTTTACAAACAGCCTGAAAAAAAAAAATCAAACAGGTGAAAATACTTTTTAAAACAAACAAACAAAATAAAACCCCACAAAAAATAAAAAATAAAACACCTTTATCAGAGGCTGGACGAAAAAAATTCAACCAAAACTTTCATTCTTTGCTCGGGCACTGACATGCTCGCCATTTACTCGCCAATCAAAGTTATTCTGTTTCTGCTGTAGGGCAGAAGACCTGAAAACCTGCAACCAAGCCACATGTCATCTGAAGACATTCATCACCAGACGGCCATCGCCTCAAAATGTAATTACAAAGTTTCAAATTCTTATAAAATAAAAAACAAGAAGTTCAATTAGTGTCAACATATTCTTGCCACACCTTTTTTCTAAATCATTCTTTAATTTGTTTTGAATCATTCAGTAAATAACTTTTTATTTACTTTGTTCGCCCAGCCCTGATGTAACCAATCAGCATTAAGTACCTGTTAGACACTTTGATGTCATTAAACCTGGTGTGAAAAAAAAATGAAGATTACAACAACAAAAATATCCAAATTGTTTTATGACAAAAAAAAGAGAGAGAAAAATCACAAAATTCACCTAAAAAAAAGAAGAACAAAAAAACAGAGTTAAAAACCCCCCAAAACAAACAAAATCAGCTGATCATCTTGAAACCCCTCAAAAAACAACAGTGAACAGGAAATACTGCAAACAGTACTATAACGACTATGTACTGATACTACAACTACTGCAAAATACAGCTGTGACCTACTTCGCAGTATAAGGAGTACAAAGTACAGTGAAGCATGAACAAGTACACGTGTTAATGCTGAAATACATTTACTTCAAGTACTGAAATAAAACATATTCACAGTAAAACTTATAATGCTTCAAAAGTAATCTGGTATTTGTCTTTAGTAAAATTATCATCATTAGTCGTAAGCAAAGTAATACCACAGTACTACTGTGTGTAACAGTACCCCAGTAATACCATAGTACTACCTGAATAATACTGCAGTACGATTGGGGAGCTCAGCACCTGCTGCAGTCCAGGTACTCAGAAGTACTACAGTGATTCTACTGTAGTACTGCAGTAGTGGTACTAACAGTGATACTGCAGCAGCACTTCAGTAGTACCGTATTAGTGGTACTTCAGCACTACATTAGTAGTACTTTCATCGTTACCTGCCACTTTGTCGCGGATGAGCTTGGCAGACTCGACCTCGCCAACGCTGCTGAAGAGGCTGCGTAGCTCGTCCTGGCTCATGCTCTGCGGCAGGTAGTTCACAATCAGGTTCGTGCGTGCGTCTTCGTCCTCCATCATCTGCTCACCGTACCCGTTATCGTACAGCTCCTGAGGTCATTACATCATCACCATCATCACTTTCACTAAAGTCAAAAAGATGCCAGAATAAAGGAAGTGAACAGATTCAGCCCATCAAAGCGTTGCACTCACATTTCCAGCAGCTCCTTTAGCGGCGAGCGAAGCGTCTCTGACATCACCCTGAGAGTTCTGAACCTCACACACCTGAAACACACACACCACACACACCTGTCGTAAACATGCACTAATCCCCAGGCCCTGATTCAGGAAGTGGGTTCAGCTAAAACTCTGAGTTTGTTAACCCTGAGATAAGATAGACTTGGGTTTCTGTTCTAGAAGGAGAATTAACTGAATCAGCCACCATGGTAAAGAATTTTGGAAACTAAACTTTGGGTAACCTCTGACTCCTCCCCTCCTCCTGGACCTGAATCAGCTGAGTGACCCTTGCTTTCATAAAGTCACAGCTATTAAGTCAGTCCAACCAACCACTCATCAATATATCAGCACAGAGACAGCTATTCCATCAATGACAGATTACAACTTAGAATTAAATCTCTAGTGACAGTATGAGTGTAATATGATTACAGTTATTGTAGAATCACCGTTTACATGACATCAATCAGCAATCAATCGTCAGGCTCAATGATGGATTTTAGTGACGATAAGGCTGAAATGACTTTCAGATCCAAACTGAACTAAATGTGTTTAAAGTGACATTTTATAAGCAGACAGTCTGACTGTAATCTGATTGCATTTCATGCTGACATAGGTTCACATATTCAGATTCTGTCATTTGGGATGGGTGACACTCATCTACTAATTGGAAGGTTAGTGGTTCTGCTGCAGTTTGCAGGCCAAAGTGTCCTTGAGCAAGACACCGAAGCCTGAGCTGCTCTATGATGCGTTTATCGGTGCGTGAAGGCGAAACAGAAAGCAGTCAGGTATAGTAAAAAGTGTTCATATGAATGTTCAAAGTCTGAAAATCACCTGAAAAAGTCTCACCGACTTGACCCAGAACCAGATCACCCAAAGGAATCATAGGCTCCGGTTTTCAGATAAGCTCTGAATTCTCTTTGCGATTACATTTGTAGTACAAAGCCAGATTGCCGACTTAGCAAGCTTAAGCTCAGAGTTCTGTGCCACAAAGGTGGCATTCTTTGTACCTGTGAGATCACCGTGGTAATGCGTGCCGATCACATGGTCAGGAGCAGGTTTAAATCTGATGGAACTGCCTTGTTTTCACCGATTCTGTCATTTACGGTCTGAGTCAGTGAGACTGAGATCCTCTACTCATCGTTTTATTTGTAAAACCTGTTCAATGGCCTCTGGGTGACATCATGGCCGAAACCCAGGTGTGAAGTCACATGATGCATATGTTCAGCTGCTGATGTAGAAAATGCAGAAACAGTTTGATGTTTGGTCCTCGTGCTATCATTTTGTTAAGCTGGTTAACTGAAAGAAAGCTTGAATTTGTTGAACCTGCTTCACAGCACAGCCTCTGAACAGGTTAAAAAACACTTGATCACTACTGATCCACTCACCTTCAGGTACCTGATGTGTCCTCGTCTTTGCGCCATGGAAATGATTCAGGAAGTTAACGTCTGGGAAAAATAGCAAAAGCAGCTGATTATTGATCATTGCTTATCATTTGCAAGCTACTCGATAAACTGAAGGTGATCAGAATTCAATCTGTTTCAATCAGGAAACCCAAACCAGTAAGTCTCTGATGATGGGTCGCCAGTTTAGCTCATTTCACTCTGTATTATCTTATGTTCCTGTTGCTACAGTAGCATTATTGATTGAGAAGCACCTGTGAAGTCCGGGTGTTCTCTGTGGATCAATGTGCAGATGTTGATTCCAGATCCCAAAACGTTGATTATGTTCATCTGGACGTTTTCAGTGGGAGAAACGTTTCATCACCATCCAGGTGACTTCTTCAGTCTCAGCTGACTGCAGGTTTCCAACCTTATAAACAGTACATTTGCACAACAACGGAAGCTAACCTACTGAATAAACAATGGAGTCATGCAGTCAGCTGAAACTGAAGAAGTCACCTACATGAGGATGAAATGTTTCTCCCATCGGAAAAGCCACATCAAGATTAACAGAATCAACCTTTTGGGAATTACTTACCTGGATGATTGAGCATGCATCAAGACATTGATTCCAGATGTTTCTCGGCCTGTTTGACTCACCTGCAGCTTTCTATAAGATGACATCTGACCCCAAACACTGCCAATCAGAATGACGTCTGAGAATGTCATCAACATTTCTAACCAACCAAAGAGCTCTAGAACTACATTTACCTGCCTGACACCCCGAGAACCGTCTAACCGCTGAAGCACCGCCCACAGGTCCAGGTGAACACATTAACTTAATGGATTAACACATATTTACTTAATCACTAACTTAATTACAGAGATCGCCGGCGTTTCTCAGAAAAACCCGTAGGTTTCCAGTTCCGGTCCAGTTCGCGTTACAGTCGTGTCTCACATGTGGATAGGTAAGCAGGTAAAGTGGGTAAAATAAAAGCGCGCACTTTGAGGCCGCGGAGCTGCTAGCATTAGCCGCTGTTAGCACCGCGGACACACCACGAGGCTACTCGGCCACTCGCACCTTGGCACTCAAAGACGTCACCGTTCTTACCTGTGGGAGTGCGGACAGGTGATCCGGTGTGATTGGGTCAGATTTCGATCCGCAGTTGGAAGATGAGATGATCTGTCGATCCTAACAAGCACGTTCCCTACTGCACACAAAGAACCAACTGCCGCCCAGTGAAGTATCGCGAGATCTCCCCCTGTCCTTCTTCCTCCTCTTCTTCTGTAAAATAGGACTGTGCTCCTTATTTGCCCCCTGCTGGAGTCATTGGGAAAACACGAAAATCAAATCAGAAGTTTTGTTTTGATTTTACTGAAGAACTTTATTTATAAAATAGAACCAACAACACGTGTACCAGAAAACTAAACATGACATCACCCAAACATTAACATCCAGCTGTAAAACATCTGTCTGCTCAGAATGAGATGGTCAACTCCCGCAAATGTTGTACCTTTTATATTGTAAGGAAAAGACCCTACAATAATAAAAAGAAAACAGCAAAACCCCCAACAATCACATGACCCCCTTATGAGCAAGAACTCTGTTGACAGTGGGAGGGGGAAAAAAAACCCTTTTATAGTTTTTCACAGTTATTTATACACAATTTCTTGTACTTCAGACACAATGACTACAACATGTATCTGATGCACCAACCCCCTGAACCAATCCTGCTAAACTACAAACACAATTTCTGCTTTACACTCAAATTGCAGTTTTAAAACACACTTTTTTTTAAACACACTACATGCAATTCTCTGCATTTGGCACAATTTTCATGAAGAAAATCTTTGTTTTCACAAGAAACACACTTTCATTCAAAATGGTAAGCTCAGTTGCCCTACTTTTCCTACTAACTCATCACATGAAGGGCTCTAGACTGCGACCAATTTGGTCGCAAAATTTTTCAACTTAAAAAATCCTAGGTCGCACAGGTGCGACCAACTGTTTGAGTACGAAAAAAAAAAAAGAAAGAAGAAAAAAGAAAAGCCCCCAGAACTCTGACAGTCTCCGTGTGGTCAAAACAGACACACATTGTGGTCTAAACCAGAGGCGGAGCCAGACATTTGAAACACCCGGGGCTTAGCCCTAAAGGGTAGTATGCATGTGGGATTTTTTTTTTT